GCTTTCTTTAGATACATTTGACTTGAATTCATATATGAACACTGAATATCTGATGGAGTCTCAGTTATGTTTTCTTTTACACAAATACAAAGGCAGTCAATATATCTTTCATATATAAGTCATAATAATTTCCTTGTACCAATTAATGTTAGTGCTTATAATAATAATATGAGCTAGACCACGGATCAGCAACCTTTGGCCCGTCAGGGAAATCTGCTGGCGGACTGGGACAGTTTGTTTACCTGCAGCGTCTGCAGGTTCAGCCGATCGTGGCTCCCGCTGGCCGCGGTTCGCTGTTCCAGGCTAATGGGGGCTGCGGGAAGCAGCACAGGCCAAAGGATGTGCTGGCTGCCACTTCCCGCAGCCCCCATTGGCCTGGAATGGTGAACCGCGGCCAGTGGGAGCTGCGATCGGCCGAACCTGTGGACGCTGCAGGAAACAAACCATCCTGGCCCACCAGCAGATTTCCCTGATGGGCTGTGTGCCAAAGGTTGCCGATCCCTGAGCTAGACAACTCCCTTAATATACCCTTACAATGTTTTAATATTTTGACAGGTTTCATATGTGACTATAAATCTGTCTTCTATGCACACAGCCTTCTATCCTAACTAACCCTAACCATGTCTTTTAAAAGCTCTATGGAGCAGGGACTGTCTGTCTTTGTGTTTTGTTTAGGACTGAGCACATTATCATCAATAAAGGAAATAATTAATAAAAGAGAATAAATAATACAGGAGAAGAGCCAGAGACTCATAGAATCATAGAATATTAGGATTGGAAGAGATCTCAGAGGTATTCTAGTCCACCCCCCTATTCAAAGCAGGACCAACCCCACTAAATCATCCTAGTGAGGGCTTTGTCAAGCCGGGCCTTAAAAACCAATAAGGATGGAGATTCCACCACCTCCGTAGGTAACCCATTCCAGTGCTTCACCACCCTCTCAGTGAAATAGTTTCTCCTAATATCCAACCTAGATCTCCCCCACTGCAACTTGAGATCTTGACTCCAGTCTCCATGAAGTCCTCTAGGGACTGTGCTATTCCTCTGCTATGCGAGGGGGTGGTGATGGACGCTATGGTGATGGATAGCAGAATAAAACCCTAAGATGGAGTGATACAGCAAATGAGAAATTCTTAGGAAAATTGATTAGGTTGGAAGTGTGGTAATCCTATTATATTTAAATAAATACCAATCAATTGGAAAGAGAGAGAATTGAAAACAACTTTAAAATATTTAATTATTGATATTAATTTTTATTGTTTTCCATAAGCAAGAGGGTGTTTTGTTTTGTTTTTCAAATTAACAAGTTAGTAATTTCATTTTACACTATGTGATTAAATCTAAAATTTATCTACTTTACTTTACTTACTACTACTTGCAGAGAAAGGTATTATTCAACATGAATAAAGGAGGCAGAATCTGGCCTTTGAAACATATTGGCACATCTACTATTCCTTCAAAGTTATTACTGTTTGCTTCAACACAGGCTAACAGGAATGGCTTTAAAGCCAGATTATTTCCTGACTATTTTCTTTGGGGGTATATGGACTATAAACTTCAAGGGTAAGATTTACAAAGGCACTCAGTGTTGGCTTAACTCTTTTCCCTTTGTAGTCAAATGTAAAACTTCCATTGACATAACAAGAGCAGAGTTAACCCAACACTGAGAACTTTTGAAAAATCCCACCCAAACTCTTCTCCCTTAACAAAATTAATGCAACAACTCTGAAGTCAAAAAAGTTGTACTGACATACAGAAACTGAGGGTAGGTCAATTTTTGCCTTTAATCTACATTGTATATGGATCTGTACAAGTATAAATATAATGAAGATAGATCAAGAATCACAGTCTTCCACCTTTGTTGTAAGTAAGGAACAGTGGAGAAAGCTTGAAATTTTGGATGAGAGAATAGTTAGCCAAGTAGAGAAAGTACAGAGAGATTACAAAAGATAAAATAATGGAAAAAATAAAGAGGGAATGTACAAAAGGGTATGAGAAAATCATGGATAAAAATGAGCAAAGCAGAGTTACAATACAAACCTCAACATATCTGGAGTAACTGTATGGTAATTCTTTTCTGAAGGTTAATATCCAGGGGTGCTATTCATATTTCAATTCTATACTGCATATAAAGTACTTTGGGGAAAATTGTGGAGGTTGAATTTAAAAGATCTTTGCAAGATCATTTGTTTGTCTCTACAGGTGCACTTGGAATTTTATTTATTTTTAGCTTCCTATGTGTTTTTAAAAATCTCATTATTTTGGTTTTAAATGCACATATTTAGGTGTACAGTATGCAGATTTTAATATGACAAAAATTCTGTTTTAATAATATTCTATTACTAGCAGAAAAAGGAACCTTTTAAAAAAAGAAAAATGTATACATTATTAAATATTTTACTTTCTTATTTTACTTGGTTGTTCCCTGTCCTCCCTTCAAATAGCCATGTCATCGGTTAAGTAGATGTTACAACAAGTTAAATGATCCACTTAAGGGGAACTGAGATATTATTATTATTCAAAACCTCATTTAAGATCTCAAATTATTGAGGATGGAATTTACTCCTGTACCAAGGGTCAGCAAGGTGTTATACACCACTTAAATCCTACCTAAACCCTAAAAGTAGGGCTTAATTGTGATTTATGTGATTTATGTGATTTATCTACTGGCCTTGAGATGGCCCTGTTCACTTTAACCTGCTAGTGAGTTATTTGTTCCTATGACTAGTAAAACAGAAGGAAACTGCTTGCAGTTGGTGTATACTTGGTTGCTGAGCTGTAACATTTTTAATATTTATATAAATTTCCATTCAAATAATGGCAGGATTTACTGTTTATATAGCTATGTCATACTGCAACTTTCACCACTGTTGGCTGAAAAATGAAAGAAGTGTACATAAGAAAAAAGTTGGAATATATCAGCTCTTTTTTGGATGGAGAAAAGAGTGGGAAGACACCAGACCATCACTTTTTTCCCACTGTAAGGCCCAGTTAATGGTGGAACCCTCTGGTAGTACAATCACATAAAAAAACCTGGGTTTATTCCTAAATTCAGACTGTAGGATTCTAGTTTTATACTGCCCTTAAAGATTGCTTGGCTTGACTGCCACAGAGACTAATTGTAATTCAAGAGCCAAATGTTTGTGTGGAGCTTACACTCAGACATTTGCAACTGCCTTCACACTAGCACAGAGAAGAGCACAAAGATCAAACCAGCATCTATGCCTTGATATGAAAGTTGGTTCATGCTATCACATACTCAGGAAACAGGTCAGGTCATTCAATGATAGAGTGACATTATCTCTGCTGGTCCTTACCATTAAAAGGACACGTCTTCAAACCACATGTCACTAAGACTAATTTATATTCTTATCAACCCAAGTGGTCTCAAAGGTTTCCATTCTGATCAAATACTAAAAAGTCTTGTCTTCAGCCAGAATTACCTTCAAAACAGCTAAAGGCAAACCAGTTCAGAATAATTCTGAACTGTTACGAACTGAGTGACTTCTGTAATTGAACTACAAACTTTTTTCCTAATAGATCTGCATTGGTTCAGAGAAAAAGATTGTTTTCTACCAGTAGGTCCATTCCCCATAATTCATGTGCCTCCTTGAATGCTGTGATCTCTGGGATCCTCACCCTCCATTAGGTTTTAAACTGATTCAACTGAGCAATTAGAAAATACGAAACTCAGCACTAATGCTGACCAAAAAGCATGATATAGCTTTATTACTGTAATTGATAAACTTTAATGGGAAGCACACAAGGGTCTAGTATATTTTCTATACAGAATTTGTTAGCTCATGATGGTCTAATATTGTCTTATTCTACTTGCATACATTTCTAATCCATCCCTTACTTGCAATAACTTTCAGTAATAAAATGGAAGGGTTTTATGGCATCTAGAATCAGGTCAAGTTGAGTGTGTGGTTTTGAAAAAAAAGAAAATGTAATGACATTTTTATCCCTCTTGTCTATCTGCAATGAGGCTTCTGTCAAACTTAGCCAAAAGAAATTTCCATTGTCAAGTCATGTTTCATCTGTTAAATGATGTAATAGAATAGAAGTAGCTGGCTTCCAGGCTTCCAGGGGCTTTTACATGCAGAAGATGAATAAAACATTTAATGTGACCAAAACCCACATGCTTGTTTTGAATACAAGATTAAGGTAGATTTATGAGACAGGTCATTGGACTCATATTTTTTGCAACAAAGTCCCAATGGGACTAAAAAGCTTGCTCTTCTTTCTGAATTGAGTTTGTGCTAATTCTCAGGATATGATTTCAGGGCAACCTCTGATTCCCAACTCTGACAGGGAGGGACAGTCCAAAGTTACTGAAACAAGCATTGTGTTGTTTTAATTTTTTCATTTACTTCCCCTCAGACTCTAGAGAAGCAGCTTAATCATTTTGAATGAGTAAGAGTGCTGAAATATTCAGACCTTTCAACCTTTCCTCTTTATTTTAATAAGAACTGATTCCCTCTCCTTGCCTAAACACATGTCTAAATGGGAAAGCCATGACCCCTTTGAAGATAAGATTTTGACCGAAGAACATCACATTATGTCTACTTTTCCTTTTAATAAAACCAAAGTTGAAAAAGTAACTGAATGTGCTGTGATGATTCCACAGTCAAACCTCTTTGTTTCATGAAACCTCTTCTCATATCCCTTCTGCTCCTTATGAAGAGCTAGCCCTGGGTGCTTCCAGTTATGCAGCTCTGCAGTACATATTCTCAAGAACAGTACCTGAACTTACTGCAGTATGTTTATACATTTGCTCCTACAACAGACTGATTTTTTCTTGTTCACTGACTGAACAGTTTCTAATGACTGGACAGGGCATAAATCCTTAATCTTTCCCATTTTCAAATTTCCTCAACTTTGTGATCAACAGAGTATTCACTATGAAAATCCCTTTTTTCACAAAGTTATCATTCTTGTTGTCTGATAGAAAAATAAACATTTCACAGTCAGTAAAATCCAAAGCAGTGCTGACAGAGTCACGGTTGCTTGATGACTACGATGCAGGCACCAGCTCTTCCAATATTTAGGGAAGCCATCTGCATAAAAAAAAAAAGATATAAATTAACAGAAAATCACACAAGAAATGGCAGAAGTATTGTGGCACATATTATTCAGGAACTGTCAACATTAACAGCAGCTGAACTACCAAAAGTATACAAAACTCACTGATATCGTAGTACTGTAATTTTCAAACTACTTGCTTTTATCATACAGTACTCAGTTAAAGGTATAAGGAGGATAGGGAGGCAGTATGGTTTTACAGTTAGGCACTAGACTGTGACTCAAGAGGTCTGGGTTTGATTCTTGGCTTTGCCATTTATTCTCTATGTGATTTGGGGCAAGTTTTTTGTCTGTTTTGTTGTAAATTCTTTGGAGTAGGGATTATTTCTTATCTGTACACTGTACAGAGCCCCAAATCTCAGCTGGGAGCTATAGGTCCTACTATAGTACAAATCATTAATTTTAAAAAACTAGCATTTTGGGTTTAGGGCAGGGGTCGGCAACCTCTGGCATGCAGCTCACCAGGGTAAGCACCCAGGTGGGCCGGGCCAGTTTGTTTACCTGTTGCGTCAGCAGGTTCGGCCGATTGCGGCTCCCACTGGCCGCGGTTCACTGCTCCAGGCCAATGGGGGTGGCGGAAAGCGGCGCAGGCGAGGGATGTGCTGGCCGCGGCTTCCCGTCGCCCCCATTGGCCTGGGACAGCAAACCGTGGCCAGTGGGAGCCGTGATCGGCCGAATCTGCCGACATGGCAGATAAACAAACTTGCCAGGCCTGCCAGGGTGCTTACCCTGACGAGCTGCGTGCCAGAGATTGCCGACCACTGGTTTAGGGGATAGCTCCCTTCCTGATTACTTTTGATTAACTGCTTTTCTCTTATTCTTGCATAGTATATAAAATATTTCATGAAATATTTTCCATGGAACTGACTTGCTTTCTATTGTTTTTGAAAAACATTTAACACAGTGTAGCAATGTTTACATTTCCCCACAGCTATCACAAACTGATATCTGCAATACCAGCGTCCATTTATACTTAGGATAGAATGTGATTGGGCTACTGCTGTGGTATTTGCAAAAGTTACATTTTAATGGCAATAACTGCCAGACACAGTGATGACTCATAGCTTCTGCCACTATGTGCTTGCCACAAATTCTTGTAATAACACTATTTTGTCTCAATGATTTAAATGTTGTGGTATTTTAAGGCAACACTTCAGAGTCCACTTGAGGTGTTGTTCTGCCAGCTAAATTTATGTAACATAGAAACCCCAACATCATGACTATTCCGTGATGGAATATGGTGCTATGCAATATAAGTTAGATGGCAGAAGCAGCTTTACGACTAAATAGACAAACAGTGGGAGAAAAGAAATATTTTACAGATGAGGAACTGAGGTACAGTGAGAATAAGTAATTTGCCCAGGGTCACACAGGAAGTATGTCACAGCCTAGAATTAAAGACAGATCTTTGACTCTTAGTCCAGCACCTCAACAGAAAGACCATCTTTTTTGAACATGCACTTTAGGTCAGTCTCTGACACCAGAATTTTAAGGGACAATAATTACCAGGAAAGATATGACACTACGTTCACTCTGATGGAACAAAACAATAGATTCCAAGGCCAGAAGGGACCATTGTGATTATCTAGTCTGACCTCCTGTATAACACAGGCCAAATGATAAGAACTACAGATGAAGGGCAGAACTGAAAAGTGAGGAGTGGAAAGTACTTGATGAGACTTTTAAATTATATTTAAAATCTAAAATCATTATTTAAATACGTTTTAATAAGCATCCTGGCACCCACAAGGTACTGAGAAAGCTAAAAGATTACACTGTAGCATGGGTAAGGGAAATTACCTTTTACATGATTTTCCATAATGTTACTACTGTACATAACCAAACTATTACAATTTTAATCTTGGGAACCATTGGTGTTATCACTACTTCTCCTGAGCGAACAATGAAGAGCATTCTTATATATATAGTGCATTATATATATTCCACCTATGCCAATGTAGAGTTCAGAACTATTGTAAGTTTTCAAAGGCCACTAAGGGTGAAATTGAAGGATGAGACGCAAACCACAAAAAAAGACCAGAATGTTAAAAGCTGAGGTGCTGATACAGGCCAAAATCTCATCCTTCCTTAAGGAAATATGCTTTGTACTGGGGACTTAGAATAGAATTGTGGAGCCTTAAAATTCCACCTCTCCTGCAAGATGAATTCCAATGAATAGCACTGACTTCCTGTAGTAAAGTCTCCCTTCTTGTGGGGCTGGTGGAACAATAAGGTTCCAGAATAACACAGAGAACATGTGGCTCCAGAAATCCTTCCTACAGCCTGGATCCAGGATATGAAAAGCTGCGAGTCAGTCATTCTGTGGTTGCTTTTGCAGCATTTGTGCTGTAGTAGGAAGTGTGACCTAATGTTTACTTCATGGCCATGCTACATGCAAAATGGCTGAAGGCAGGATTTTTCCTTCAGACTTTAAGACATGTTGTTATGACAAATCAAAACAATATGCAATTCAGAGACAGTGCTGATTGGCTGTTCTTTTTTATAAGAACATAGTAAAGTCTATTCTCACCTTATTAATTAGAGACCAGATTCTACCGCTTTTCCTCATGTCTATTATACTTGGCAAGTAATCCCATTCAATGGAAAGATACTACACAGGATGAGGAAAGGTGGTAGAATTAAGTCCTAATGGATTTATGCCTGACATTCCCAAGAGGATTAGTGGGAAGTACGCACATTAATCTTGTATCCATCAATGGGAGAATAAAAAGCATTTGGTATTTTATTTTTCTTGTTGACAATAAGATTTATTTTTAATTACACTAAAGCACAACAAAATCCTGAAGTATATAGTTCAATACTTGTTTTATAATCTTTTAAAATCCAGAGTTAAAGAAAATTTCACTTTAATAAAAGCAGTTGTCTGTGCACTGATATATGCACAGGCACACATATTTATCAGATTACTAGACTGTGCGATACTTTGCTCATGCTTTCCATAGCAACTTGTGAAGGGGACTTTTAACCAGGAAAAAGAATTCCCAAGATAACTATATCAACGTTCACATAAATTGATTGTCCTCTGGGTGAAATTAACCCACAGTGCTGAGGGTTGAAGCAAGACTTCTGCAATACCTGATTCATTTGGTGAGGTTGCATGAGGTGGAGGATGAGAACAGTTGCTAAGCCTTCCATATTCTGGGTACTGTGGAGAAAGTCTCCAGTCTGATCCAAAGCAGGCAGGAGTCAGATGTGTAAAAGTCAGGGTTACTAGTTTCAAAACCATGTGGCTCCAGTGTTCCTAACTTGATTCCTGCTTCCTATGCAAGTATAATGTGCATAGCTTGCTATTTCAACCCATGAACAGAATTAGTTGCTGTAGAAGGGTGGGGCTGCAACGGCATGGCCTGTGGAAGATTAGGTGGTTCATTCATTGTTCTAGCACTATCATAATGGCTACTCCAGAAAAACCTAAAAATCAGAAAGCTTTCTTATTACTGAATTCTACAAAACTCAGTTGCTCATGCTTTTTTATGGGGACTGGCATACCTTTATGCCTTTTAGAAAAAAATGTTTTTGCATGGGCCTGTCATATCACAGGATGCATAATCAATAAATCATACACTTGTGTTTTCATTAGCAATAAGTGATGACACAAAGAGACAGAGTAGTAAGAAACAGAACTTTTCCAAAATATACTAGGAAGCCATTGCTATGTGTCTCCAAAATATTCCAGGCATTCCTAAACCACGCCAATCTATGTTTCTTCTGCCATCAACTTAGTTCCACCCATCATACCACAGCTGTATATTCCACATTTCAAGTCGCATTTTTTATATTTCAGCATTCAGCATATTTCATAGTGTCCATTAAATGAAGGCAATGGAAGGAGAGAGTGAATAGAAAACTCTACATGGTAAACAAAGGAAACAAACTGCTTTCCCAGCAAGAAATCTGCATGACAAATTTGTCACCAAACAAAACACCAGAGCCACTTTTGACAACTACAGATTCAGTTTCAACCAGTATACTGAAAATTCAGAATGAAAATAGCATTTCAATTGAAAATCAGACAGATTAAAAACTTTATTAAAAGCATAGCTAGATAATATTTTTAGCAACGAGTTTATCTGTCTCTTCTTGGTTTCGAAGGAGACACATTTTTCTTTTGTTTCTTCTGGGGAAACTCGTATCATCATAGTTGTTGAAATATTAGGAATAATTTTACAGCTATGGCAGTGTCAGCTACTTACTAATGTTAATTCATTGTGAAAAAATAAATAAAACAAGTTTATAAGTACCTGCGTCCATTCATTAGTTTGAGGGTCATATGATTCCATAGTGTTCAGGTATGTCTGGCCATCATATCCACCCACTGCATATAATTTATCACCAAGAAGACAGACACCAACTGCATCTCGAGGCATACTCAATGGAGCCACCATTGTCCAAGTATCAGTTTTTGGATCATATCTGAACAAGAAGAAAGGAAGATGCAAGCTTAATGAAAATCTAGGTATTAGCTCATGTCCACCTTTACAAAAAATCTGTCCTTCTTAAAAGACTTGTTTACAAGCATCTTATCATAAACAATCTTTTCAACAGCAGAAAAAAAAAGAATTATGTGCTAGATTCTGAAACTTTTATGTTGAATGGCAATTTATTCTGTGATTAGTCCCTTGGAGATGAATGGACTATTTACAGAGTAAGATGCTATTTAACATGACTATGACTAAGAATGGCAGAATCTGGCCCTATGTAAAAAAAACCAAACTAGTTAAACTCTTCTTCTATAGTATAATGGAAACTACTTTTCCTAAAATTAGATTGAACTCTACAGTAACTTCACTGAAACCTGTCTCAGAAGTCAAGAGATGTTTCATGCTGTATTGTGCCACTGTTACTCATATTAAGTAGCACTACTCTGAAAAAGAAAGAAAGAAAGAAAGAAAGAAAGACGATTGATCTAATGTAAAAAAAAAAGTAGTCTCTATCCCAGTGTAATATGACTGGGTACGATGATCAAAAGTACTTAAGAATTTAGAAGCCTAAGTCCAACCAAAAGTCAATAAGGGCTAGGTTCATAATAAGTCACTTAGACATATATTCACAAAGATACTTAGGTGTTGTGATGCTTTTATCCTTTAAGTGCCTAGAAAATCACAGAAATACAGTGATTCACAGAGCCTGAGTTAGGTGCCTATGCTCCCCTATACAATGAATGGGGAGAGATAGGCAACTTAGAGTGGGATTCACAAAAACCAGCACACTAGGTGGGGAGTCAGCTATATAGCCAATTGGCAACGTAGGGGAGAGGCATGTATCATAAGCCCTACCCCTCTCATGGAGATAATCACCTGAGCCTGGGCTGCAGGGTGGTGCCTGACTCTACTTGTGATCCACAACCATGAACCCTCTTTGGAGTTAGGCACCTAAGGCAATTTTTGCAAGAAGTCAGGGGACAGAGGTTGGGAAGATGAGAAGGAGGACCACATACTTTATCAGTGTTATACCGTGGTTCGGGTAGTCATTAAGGATCCAGAAGACACCCCTCCACACACACACTGTTGAGGAGAAATGATTTAAACAAGGATCTACCACTCTAAGGTGAGTGCTCTAACAATTGGGCTTTGGAATATTGTAATGTGGGGCTCCCTCGATCTCTCCTGTTGAAGACATTGCATTCTGGAGAAATATTTAAAGAGTCATTTTGGCCAGAGAGAAAGACAGAGAGCAACCAACCATAAGAATGAATACCCAGGATCCTGTCCTCCTTCTCCAATGACTCTTTAATTATTGATCCAAAGGAAAACAGCTTCAACAGAAAAGTTGGAGGGGGCCTCATAATAAAATATCCCATAGCCCAATGGATAGAGCACACACCTGAAAGGTGGCAGAGCCCTGTTCAAATCCCTTAATCTCATCAGGCAGAGGAGAACTTGAACTGGGTCTCCCACATGCCGGGTGACTTCCCTAACTACTGGGCTAGATGTTATGAGAGAGAGAGCCGCTGCCACCACCCTGTTTTGTGTGAACTCACCTGAGAGGTCCAATCCAGTACGCAGCCTCTGAGTATGCCTACTGGATTGGGTCCCACATGCAAGTTAGGCAGCCTATTTTTACCTGGCTTGAGAATCATTGTGAAGCTTAGATGGGAGATAAGTGTCTGGACTCCTAAAGTGGGGCAGTTGTGCACATGCCCAGAGACAGACACACACGCACCTAGGGAACTTTTTATTGAAAAAAATCTTAGGTGCGGAATGAGTTTAGACACCTACAGAGTTCAGTGGGAGTTTTGTGAATTGCAGTAGTGCCTAAATCTGGGACTCAGGCACCTAAGCACAGACTTAAGTGCCTAAAAACTTTTTTGAATTTAGGCCTTGGGCACTTCTGAAAAAAATTATCCACTTTTATTATCTATGCCATTACTTTCATTGGGCTAGATGTTTCTTCCATTTGCCTTTAGTTTGCTATGACAGACATTCTGGCACAGCCTGCTCACGCCTGCTTTAATCAAATCTCCATTTTCTCTGTCAAAACACACACTTGCTTTTTTTTTTTAAATCACTCTATGAGATTTATCGAAATCTGATGTCATCAGCTTTGATGCTTCTATGTAATGATGTTAAATCCTGATCAGTAGAAACTGTGAATCGGACTTCCAATTTCAACTATCCTGATTTTGGTATGTATGTAAGGGCATTTCCCAATTAATTTGATTGTTTTAGAGAAAAACAAAAGCTATATTTCTTTGCATGTCTTTCCCAAATCTTCTGCAGCTGGAAGTAATACTGCATATTATTATTATTTTATTAGAGGTGTAATAAAAATACTCAGTATTTTTCAGTTACAAATTATATTATTTGGGGGTTATTTTGACCATTTTTTAAAATAGCATTTACTCCCAAATAGGTAATGTTCAGGATATAATGCTGTTAAAAATATGAGCAAAAGCTCAGTTGCCTCTCTCCTTGCCCTAACCTTGACATCTTACAATTTATTTATTTCTATATTCAGGAACTTTTATGGTATCCCCTCTCACCTTGGAGCACATGAAGTTACTACAAAGATGAAATGTACAGCTGTTTTTCACAGAAGAATGTAAGAAAATGTAAGCATTTCTTACTACAAAAAAGGGAGCTCTTTTTTTCAGTTGTGTTTTGTTGACAGAATTGAGTTCTAAGCATTCTATTTAGCCCCTGGTTACCTGTTTATAAAAAAACAGTGATGTTATTTATATTTAGCTTGCCTGTTTTTTTCAGCTACTCACCTTGACCCTTGCAATCAGAAAGAGAATACTGTATCATAGAGTCTATTAAAGTGTATTGCCCTCTGGGAGGTGAAGACACAATGCACACTTGTTAAAGCTGGTTGTAAAATGAACATTAGCTGGAGGCATATGGTGCTTTCGGAGGAAAAGTCATACAGTCTTTGAGAAAATCCATTCAGAATTAACATTTTTGGGCTTTACCATATGTGTATTTTCCCTTCCAGGTCTTCAAAGATTATTATAATCCCCATCCCCCCATAATTTACAACAATTAGGATAATACTGGGAGATGTAATAGAATTCTTGGTCTTTAGTCAAAACATTCAGTCCTTTAAAAAAGATGAAGGAGGAAAAATGCATGATAGTAATATTTTAATTCTCAGCTAGACAGTACAAAAACCTGCTCACTTTACTTATCTGAGTAGTTCCAGTGAAGTCAATAGGATTAATAAAGTCAGTGAATAGATGTTATCCCCAACTATATGTTTCACTTTAGAGACCAATTTAATCAAGGTGAAAGTAAAGACAATTAATTCTTTTAACACACAATTAGGAGAACATTATTACGAACTGCAAAGCAGTTAAGAGGGAACTAAAACCCTGTTAAAATATTTAACAAATATTTCACGAACTGCCATCTTTTAGGTACAGTATATGGGTTCTGGAACTATCTAAGTTACGTCCTTCTTAGAAAATACAATTAACTGAGGATGACGGTATAGATGGGAAGAAGATGTGGATCAGGCTTTTTTTAAACAACTAACAAAATCGTCCAAAGCACAGGGCTTGGTGGAAACGGAAGACTTCAACTACCCAGACATCTCTTGGGGAAATAATACAGCAAGGTACAGATTATTCAACAAATTCTTGGAATGCATTGGAGACAACTTTTTATTACAGAATGTGGAGAAAGCGACTAGAGGAGAGGCTGTTTTGGGAGGAACTGGTTGAAGGTTTGAAGATGGAAGGACGCTTGGGTGAAAGTGATCATGAAATGATAGAGTTCATGATTCTAACAAAAGGTAGGAGGGAAAACAGCAAAATAAGGATAATGGATTTCAAGAAGGCAGACTTTAGCAAACTCAGAAAATTGTTAGGTAAATGGGAAGCAAATCTAAGGGGAAAAGAGAGTTGGCTGAAGAGAGTTCAGGAGAGTTGGCTGAAGAGATCCCTGAGCCATTAGCGATGATCTTTGAGAACATATGGAGAATGGAAAAGATACCCAAGGAATGGAAAAGGGCAAATATAGTACCCATTTATAAAAAGGAGTATAAGGACAATCCAGAGAATTACAGACCAGTCACCTAAACTTCAGTACCCAGAAAGAATAATGGAACAAATAATCAAACAATCAATTTGTAAGGACCTATAAGATAATAAGGTAAGTAACAGTTAAGATGGATTTGTCAAGAACAAATCATGTCAAAGCAACCTAATATCCTTCTTTGACAGGGTAACATGCCTTGTGATGGGAGGAAGAAGAAGATGTAATATATTTTGACTTTAGAAAGGCTCTTGATCCTGTCTCACATGACCTTCTCACAAGCAAACAAAGGATACATAGCCTAATGAGCATAATATAAAGTGGATGGAAACTGTATTCAGAGAGTAGTTATCAGTGGTTCACAGTCAAGCTGGAAGGGCATAGTGAGTGAAATCCTTCAGGGATGTATTCTGGGTTTGGTTCTATTCAATGTCTTCATAACTGATTTGGATAATGGAATATACACTTATGAAGTTTGTGGATGAGATCAAGGGGAGGGGATACAAGCACTTTGGAGGACAAATTAGAATTCAAAATGATCTTGACAAACTGAAGAAATGCCCTGAACTAAATAGGATGAAATTCATTAAAGGACAAATGCAACGTAATACACTTGGATCTGGGGGTTATAATTAGGGTGACCAGATGTCCCGTTTTTAAAGGGACAATCCCGTTTTTGGGAACTTCTTCTTATATAGGCGCCTATTACCCCCGAACCCCATCCTGTTTTTTCACAGTTGCTATCTGGTAACCCTAGTTATAATGGATCACAAATTAAATATGAATCAACACTGTAATACTATGGGGGAAAAGCGAAAATTATTCTGAGATGCAGGAGTGCTATAAACAAGACATAAAAAGGAATTCTTCCATTTTACTTAGCATTGATAAGGCCTCAACTGGAGTACTGTGTCCAGTTCTGAGCACCACACTTCGGGGAAGATGTGGACAAATTGGAGAAAGTACAGATGAATGCAACAAGATTTATTAGAGGTCTAGAAAACATGACCTAAGGAAAGATTTAAAAATGGGTTGTTTAGTCTGGAGAAGAAAAGGCTCTGGGAGACATGACAACAATCTTCAAGTACATAAAAGGTTGTTATAAAGAAGTGGGTGATAAATTGTCATCCTTATCCATTGAGGACATGACAAGGAGTAATGGTCTTAAATTGCAGCAAGGGAGATTTAGGCTATACATTAGGAAAAATGTCCTAACTGTAATGGTAGTTAAGCACTGGAACAAATTGTATAGGGAGGTTGTAAAATCTCCATCATTGGAGGTTTTTAAGAAAAAGTTAGACAAACACATGTCAGGAATGTGTTTGTCTAACTAGATAATACTTCAGTGCTGCTTCAGTGTGGGGGACCGGACTAGATGACCTATCAAGATTCCTTCCAGTCCTACATTTCTATGATTTTGTGATTCTATGTGTCAGTGCCTTTGTGTCTAAAAAAGCCTAGAATCAAGTCTTGTGCAGGTTACATATGCAAATAAGTTTGGTGTATGATTATCAGTTTTTAGTCAGCAAAAGTGTAGGACTACAAGAATGGAGATGTTGCAGGTCACACTTATGTGGAGAAGATTCTAGAATACCAGTTTACAATATGCCTGGCTCAAAGCAGTGCTCTAAATTCCTCACTTTCATGTGCACTAAATTAACCCACAACTTTTTTTGGTATGGGTTTATTTAACATAAACAGTACATGTATGTGAAATGACATAAAATACTATTATATGTGCCCATATATTTAAAAAAAAAAAGGAAAAGTGAATTAAAATTAACAGAGATTAGGTTGTGTGATATTTCAACACAAAAAAAGCAAGCACTACAATTTGTTTCCTCAACTTCTTTCATGATGCCTGGTTATTAGATAAGAGTAACTTTTTATATAAAGTGCCAAATTCAATCCTCAGTTACATGCTTACATTCCCATTAATTTCAGTGAGGGGAGAATTCAATCCAGAAACAAGGGAGTAACCAGAAACCATATGTGGCTGAAAAAGAAATGAAATTCACACTCTTCTTTTTTTCAAATTCCAAAGTAACACTGCTCCTATATGACAGCTAATACAAATGTTAGAAAAGCAAAAGGTGTTCTATCAGTTTTGCTCTCTGTTTTTCTAATTCATGAGCCTCAGGTAAATCTAGGGTTTCATGTCCATGTCCACTTCTAAAGATTTTGATTAACTTTCTCCTTGGAAAGGAGTGGCAGCTTTAAGTCTGTATGTTCTCACTTTCCTGTTTAGTCCTCCCTTTTAGCATTATAACTTTTGCATACCTTTGATATGTTAATTTTCTTAGTTTTTTTTAAACAATGTAATAAAACCTCAATTAAATGTAGACGCGTATCTGCAAATCACAGGCAGGATAGATCTTAATAGCTCCAATAGTGCCCTCGTGTCCTATTAAACTCTCTTGATTCACAGAATATTTGCTTGTGAAATGCAAAGTACAGGCTATATACTGTAAATACAGTGTCAGGCAATAACAGTCCTGCTGAAGGACCCACCATGGTGCAGTGTGCATCAGCATTACTTAAAGAGCTTTGTTTTATTACTTGCCTGACTATAATTTAAAAATTGCTAAATCTAGCTAAATCTAATTTGGTATTACAGGTTTGCTTTCATGCCGAGCTCTTGTCTCTTCAATAAGAAAATATTTCTGCCTTAGATACAGAAGTTTCCAGTGGAAATGTGAACAGACCTTAGTTCTGCTTCTGTGTTCATGTGCTACTAATGCAGTGGTTCTCAAAATTTTGTACTTGATGCAAAGAGGGGTTTGGGGTGGAGGCTGACAGCTCACAACCCCCCTGTAATAACCTCATGACCACCTGAGGGGTCCTGACCCCCAGTTTGAGAACCCCTGTACTAATGAAACAAAACAACACAAGTATTGTTTTCTATAAGCCCACTTTTGTATGATAGTTGTTATGGTACTATATTATATTTATCTTATTAAAGTAGTTATATATGGTTAATAACATTTTTGAGTTCACTTGTCATTTAGTAAAAAACAACAACAAAACCTTAACTCTTACAATTTTTAGGATACAGACAATTGTAACCTGTCTTGCATTCCAAAACAGCACATGTAATTGTACACTAAATGGATACCTTTCTACATAGTCCAGAAGTCGGGAACAGTGGTTAGAAGCAGGAGCATCATGGCCTCCAACTGCATAGAGAAAGCCATCACATGTGGCCACACCTACGCCTCCTCTTCTCTTACACATTGGAGCACACATATTCCATTTATTTGTGTGAGGATCATAATACTCCATTGAACTCAAACAAGAACTTCCATCACGACCTCCCACTGAATATAACCTAAAAAAAACCCAAAACATGCAAATTTCAGTACAAGAACTTTGATAAGCAAAACTATAAACAGAGAGGCTTTGTTTGCTTTTCTCATCTGTCGTCTGAAATGAAGGGACTACGGAATATGTTTTGTCAAATTTCAAGTTCACAGAAGTATAACACACTGGAAAATACATTGATGTTAGTACTATTGCCAAATTCACATTCTTCTGTGTGTTCTGCCAACCCTCAGTGGAATGGAAGTTATTTCCTGATTAGTCATTTGGGAATAGGTGGTTTAATTCTCAGCTCAAAATGCATACTACTTTCTTCTGCCTCATGGGCCAGAAATCTCAGGAGAAATTGCTTCTCCCACGATTTCCAAACCACAGAAGCAGGGTTGCTGCACAGTTGCCTACCATCTGTAGAGGGAAGGGAAAAAAACAAGGAAAATTGCAGGTGGTCAGTCATGCTCAGTAATCTGGGTCAAATAAGAACCTGGATAGACAGAGCAATGGGTGGAAATTGGTGCGGATGAGGAAAGAAATAATCTGGACGAAAACTACAGTACAAATTTTAGAATTGCAATTTTAGAACATAAATGGAGGGAAAATGGATTTTTGAAATCATAGAACATTTTTTGTACAAGCTGCTGTGTACAATTTAGAAGAGGAAAAAGCAAATTATCCAGTCAGAAAGCAGAAACAATATCACCATCTTCCCATACACAGTCTATCCACCATTTTCTTGGCTGTCCTTCTGTTCTCTGCCCTTGAACTCTAGTCTCAAATGGCTCCATAATAGGATTCCCTTCATCAGGTGTTCATATATGCCCATACCATCTCAGCCTCCTCTCTTGCGGCTTCTCTCTGATGCAGCAGACCTAGGTCTCATTCCTGATGAGATCATTCCACACGTGGCCCAGCAATGGTCTTCTCAAGTGCCTCTCATGTCTCTGATCCTAACAGAAGAGCTGGTCTTACCATAGTTTTGTGTTGTTGTTCCATAAGTAGTTTTGGCATTTGTTGATCATAAATCATTCCACTTATCTTGTACCAGACTTCCCCACAGTCAGCAGCCTTCCCTGAAGTTTGCTGTTGATTTGTCCATTTGCCACTAACCAGCCCGTTAGGAACTTAAACACAGAAACCTGATTTAGGAACTGACTCTAATTGTTGATATTCAGCTGCCTTGATTCCATAGGAGTCCCCACCTGACTTCTGTCTTTTCTTTGCTCATTTTGAGACCATAGTTTGTTGGCATCAGGTGTCTGGACTAAGTACTCCTCACTATCAGCCATTAGCACAACATTGTCTACAAAGTTTAACTCTGTACCATCTTCCATTTGGAATTGCTTACTTATGAAGTCCGTCACAATTATGAATAGTAATGGATAAGCACTGATCCTTGATGTAGCCCAACCTTCACCTCAAAACCCTTCATTGCACCTAAGGGCATCTGTACCTTTGTCATGGAACCATCCTACAAAACCATCACCATCTGGACAAGGTCCTCCAGTACCCCACAGAATTGCAGTGGAGGCCTCAGCAGTCACTGAGGTACTTTGTCAAATGTTTTCTCCAAATTGAGGAAAGCCCACCCTGCTTGATGTTTACCTTCAGCTTCTTTTCCGCCAACTGTCTATTGATCGGCATATAATCTGTCATCCCTTTTCCTTTTCTAAAACCAAACCACTCCGTTCTTAAAACGGGCTCCACTATTCAACAAATGTGACTATGAATGATTCTCTCTAACAGTTTCATGCAGTGGGACAACATTAATTACTTGGTACTTTTAATAGTCTTGTATGCCACCTTTTGTTTGTATATAGGTACCAGTATAGACTTTCTCCATTCTTCTGGAATTTTCTTCTCTTTCCAAACTGTGTCCATCAATGTCTCTCAAGTCTTTGATCATAGCTGCCATGACTTCATCTGGACCTGCTGATTTTCCAGGTGCCATTTTCTGAAATGCAGCCTTAACATCTGCTTCTGACAGGCCATTGATTATCAGTTCACACAATGGTAGCTTGGCATATAAAGGGTTCTACTCACTAAGTAGACCCTCACAGTATTTTTGCCACCTGTTATGTACCATGTTTCTTGTTACAAGCAGTCTGCCCCTGCATCCCTTAGAAATGGCATCTTCCATCTTCCCTCCTTTTGCTTCTTGTCCACATGATTACATATATTTTCTGTCTGGCAAGATGATGACAGTTGTTCAACTCATTATACAGCTCACCTATAGTTAGGTTTCTCACCATTCTGATAGCTTGATTTCCTGCTCCCTTGGAGGCTCTGTAGGCAGCAACTGCTTCTTCTGATGGGTTACTTTCCATCACCTTTATGACTTTTTCCTTATTTCTTACTCCTTTTTGCACTTCCTCATTCCACCAGCAGTTTTCACTAGATATCCTCACTGTGGAGCTTAAATCTGCGGTGAAGAGCATAATTTGGCTTATTATGTCTTAAATGTAGATATCTAAAAAGTACGGTAAAGTCCTAGTTCGTTTTCATAGGCTTCTGATTGAATTTGTGGCGATTCTGGTCTATGTAATATGCCTAAGGGATAGTTTCAGGGAATGATACATGCAGGTACTGTTTGTTGATTTTCTTCAATGACATATATGATGAATGTATCAGCAAGGGCTGATTTATGTGTGGAAGTCCTGGAAAAACTCTAAAATCTATTTTCAAATTCCAATTATGAAAATGCTGTTGAATTACGTTTCAGTTCTGCTTGTAACTATTGTAGGCAAATGAAAATAATTTCCATCCCTTATAATGGTTCCTATGATGATATGATTCCGATTTCATTTTTCCAGTGTTACCCATGCTGCATAAATTTTTATATGAATCCTTTCCCAGTCTGCTGCCTGTTCTACAGTCCCCACAGATTAACTAATAGAAATGCGGGCTAGTTTAAAGTCCAAGCACTGAGCAATTTAGGATGCAAAAGTTCCCTGCAGTGAAACAATTATTCATTTGGAAGCTTTTATTGTTCTAAATACTCCACGAATTCCAAGCTCATTAAATGTTCATTTACTGTCATGTTTCTTTGGCACTGAAGCTGTTGTCCTGAACAAGGAAGCCCAATTCTACCACTAATCTTTAGTGAGTCCATGGAACTTTGAGGTATTGCCTCATAGACACCCTTGTATGGTAACAAAAGTAGGCAAGGGAACCAGACTACATTGATCTGTCATGTGAAGTGGATGTCAAATAAAGCAACAAAGCAAAAGTATAAAGCAATTCTCTTACAAGAATGCCTGCAAACTCAGTTTTAAAACACTTATCTTTTCATCTGATTTCTATTGTTCAAGGTAACTGAAGGCTGGGGTCACTATGAACTGATGTTTCCTGCACGGCTAGTATGTGCAATGCATTATACAGTAGTTCTGCTAAAGTTTGCATGGGGGGAAATTCCATTTTGAAAGTGAAATGCATAATATAGATTTGTACTAATGCATTCACTCCCAATCTCTAATTCCATCATTGTAGCAAAACTATATTATAGTGAGCAACAATAGGTCACAAAACCCTTTCCACTATAGCCCTGTTTTCATATGCAAGTGCAATTAAGGTATTTAGATGTCTACCTGATATGCAGGCAAATGGGATACTAAGCTTTAAATATCAGAACCAAGATTTTCAAAGGTGGGAGTCAAAAATTAGTGTGAAATCAAAGTGTTGCTTTAAAGCTCTACTTACAATGCTCCACTCTGGCTATGTCTAAACAGCTCAGCTACCAGTTCTATGAATGCTTGATTGTGCATGACTCTGTCCTGACATGGAGAAGGGCATAGAGAAAGCAAAAGAAATCACTCCTGTATTTGCATCCGCTAAATTTAGTTATTTATATTGTGCTCATCTCCATGCTATCAAAGCATCCCTGGGCACAATCACAGTCATTGTAGTTATAGAGCTAGATATTACTGAGGAGAGGACTGAGGTATTGGCTCTGTTCCTCCTTTGCATAATCTGGGTAGGTGAACGCATACTAAACCCGGATAAAGGGTAGTACTCTGGCCAAATAATGGTGGTAACAGTGGCCGAAAAATAAGAAAAAATCCTATTTGCAAATATTTTATTAAAAACAGTGTATAAAATTCAAAAAATATTCATGAATTATTTTCTCAGCTTTATAAAATGAAAATATATACAGTCATCTTCACATTATCAGTAGTTTGTATTTCAGAAGCACCCAGATACTCCAGCAAAGGTTAAGGTTCCTTTGTGCTATACACAGTACAGAGTAATATTCAGTTTCTGCCCCAAATATTTTACAATCTAAGTACATAAAACAGACAAAGTAAGTGTTATTATCCCCACTTTACAGATGGAGAACTGAGGCACAAAGTGAGTTGGTCACATAGGAAGTCAGTAGCAAAATTAATATCTGATATCCTGTGTCTGAGTCCGATGCCTTAACCACAAGATGATACCATACTTGCAGCCAGTCTAGGGTGACCAAATGTCCTGATTTTATGGGGATAGTCCAAATTTTGGGGTCTTTTTCTTATATAGGCTCCTATTACCCCCCACCCACGTCCCAATTTTTCACATTTGCCGTCTGGTCACCCTAAGCCAGTCATAAATGCACAGTATGTATATGTGTCCAAACACACACATACACACAGATTAGGCAGCCATTTACTATAGCCTTGGATTGTGAAATATGGATTAAGGGCTTCTAATTGTAAAAATAGTTTATTTTCCTCTGAATACAATTTGTTAATGGATCCTTGATAAGGTCTATTTATTCTCACTCTGTTAATTATGCTTTAAACTGTTCTGTATTGGCTCACGCTGATTTTTATCCTTTGGTTGAGTTTATATTTTACAAATACTTTTTGACAGTTATTCATGCTTTGCTGTATTTGCCTCTTCCTCTGTATTTTATCTGCAAGCATCCAATACAAAGGCAATTTTTAAAAAAGGAAAGAAAATAGCCAGAATCAAATAGTACAAATCTCTCAGCAGTCTGATTTGCAGGAAATAGAGGATAAATTATTTTTAAAAGTTATT